TAACCCGGCATAGAAAAAGAGCGCAAAGGCGTCGCAAACGCGAGAGGTGAAGAAGATTAGCCATGAAGAGCCACTCCCGAAGTTTTTGCTCATCCAAGGATCGTCAAAGTAATAGTTGGCCGAGTAAAAAACGAGAAGAGCCAAGGTAGATGCAAAGAGTCCAAAGGAGGAGGCTTGCTGCAAGAACTTGGTGCCGGATCGGTACCCACGAGACTGCTTGATGCTGCAAGCAAACGCAGAGCCTGCCAGTCTCCACCTCAGTTGACAAAAGCCGGGGTCCCTAGAAAGGGCCCGTAGGGGATGGCTACTAAATATAAGCTCTGAACTGCTCTACCAAGGGGTGCGGCACATGACTTCGAGCTAACCTGCTATCATCGTCAGTCAGAGACTGGAATGCCATCGTGGTGAGGTTTCCAAGGATAAATAGGCAGCAGGCGAGCTGAGCTGCCCAGAGAGGGGACTTTCCTGAGAGCGGAAGAATTCGAGTGAAATGCATGAACTTTATGGCTACAGCTGTGCATTGCAGGCCTTTTCATCAGACACCCCTTGAAGCCAAACCTCCTATTGCAGCTTTAGTGCTGGAATATTGGTGCATTTATATTGCTTCCACTGCATCGTTTATGCATATAAATTGTGTTTGGGCTTCACTAATGTAAGCTTGGGAGCAGTGGGCATAGGCATTCAGTGCAGTCTAACGTGATCGAAATAATCGTGTGCGTCCACGTACCGACAGACTCAGGGTTACACCTGAAAAAACTAAGAAGAGATAGGGGATCTTTGCCTCCAGATGATGCGGTTGCGAGGAGAATTGCGTAGGCGGTCAGCTGGATCAGCAGGCCAAGGCGAAGATTGTAATTTACACAGAAGGTCCAGAATGGCTCGAGCTGCGGTCCCCGGCCTTCAGGGGCCTCACCCGGACGAACAACGTACGTGAAGTACATCTTTTGTTCGAACAAAGCTGTTGTGGGATGCAATAAATGGCCCTGAGTGCAGACTTGCGCGTGCTTCTTCCGCTGGTTGAGACTAGACCACCAGCACAGGACGATGATGGACTCACGATACAAAGAAAAGACTACACAACAGAAAAGAAGGCTTTTGCTGGGCTGTGTGTGTGAGAAAGAACTTAATATCAACTGAAATTTCCCATAGCCTTCGGATCATGGCTGAACCGCTCGAGGCGCTGCCGACATGGCGGTCTGGTGGCCCGGAACGGCTGGCATGTTTGAGCACTGCTGCTGCCCATGCTCTGTCTGTCACTTGAAACTGCTGCTTCAATAGCTCAAACCGTCTCGCTTCTTGCTGGGCTGCTGAATATTTTGTCCAGCCGCGCGTCTAAAAATTTTGACGTCAAGGTCACCACCACCTCCGAGTTCCCACAAATCGAGGTAGCCAGCACGGTGAGCTGGACCGCCTCGTGGCCAAACAAAAAGCTCATGCTCAATTCCACTCGTAAACTTTGAAATATACTTGCTTCTCACAGCGTTTTCGCAAATCTGGATGCAGTACACCTGGAAGGGACCGAGGTCCTTCAAGAGTGTCACTTCCTTTATGGTGTCGCAGTCCCTTCGGATGGTACTTATCTTCTGGGACAAGCATTTGTCAATTAAAACTTACTGTGATGCTAACTAATTAATCTTTGGATTGGGTAGCTTGGAGCGTATAATCGAAGGAAACGCCGCGAGCTATTGCAATAAGAAGCAGCGACAAAAAACGCTGCAAAAGGCCTCAGTGTGAACCGAGGAGCTTGCACGCTAGGAGACAGTGCAGTCCTGTATATATTTCTCATTAGTTCTTGCTACCCAAGGTGTTGAATAATCGCCTATTAGTGACACGGGAGCCGCCTAACAAGCATTCATGGCAGAAGCTCACTTAACGCAGGATTAGCAAAAAGCTCATTTGTGCTGCACCAGCAAAATTTTTAAACAGCTCACAGGTCTCGGTCTTCTGTAGCTCCTGGGAGGGAAGCCACTGCTGCAGTGAATATACTGTGAGACCGGCAGCTTCAATGGAAGGGCACCGAACTACAGCGCGACACAGTAGCGGTGATTTCAAGGCCAGCGCCCGTGATAATAAGCCTCAAGCTGTTAGACACTGTTAACACTTTCACTGTTTTCCCAACGGTAAGTAAAATTTTGCTCGGGCCAGCACCCGTGATAATAGGCCTCAAGCTGTTAGACACTGTAAATACTTTCACTGTTTTCCCAACGATGAGTAAAATTTTGCTTGGCGTGGTGCCTGGCTCCAAGATTTTGGCGAAGTAACGCTCTTCATTGTTTTGACGGCAGCAAACTAATTTTCAGAACAGATGAGTGCTTCTTCCTCTAAGCACTTCTCAAGTATCTTCGTTCAGAGCACTGTACGCCTCTCAAAGTAGCTCCGCACACTTACTGTGAGTCATTTTCATATGGTTGAGGGGCAGATCTAGCCATGCGGCACTCTCCAGCGTAGCTTCGGATTCAGAAAGAAGGCATCGCAATGAACCTGATGCTATGAAGTGCTGCAAAATAGACATGAGGATGCAGTATGCTACAGATCTCCCAGGCATATTTCTCGCTGTTTAAAGACTAGAATTCCAATTCAAGTGTCCAGGCAATGGCAGCCTGCTGGGCCGAAGCAGCCAACACACAAAGGCCGAATAATTTTCAAGCTTCGAATGCATCGACTGGGACAATGCACCTGCGGCAAGCGCGCACGGTGGCTTGTCCACGCTTGTTCCTTCCACTGCAATGAAGAGCAGTTGGAAATCGACCCACTTATGTTATTTTTTCTTGGTGCGTCTGCAGCCTATTGCGCAGTTTCTTGGCATGATAGGGGGACTTTGACAACGCCCGCCGGGGAGTTAAGCAGCGGCGTGAAGGTGAAGGCTTTGCACACTGGCCCGTTGCTCAAATGCTGCAGAACATGCCTCATGCCACTACCCTGTCTAGAATACTCATGCCACTACCCTGCCTAGAACAGCTAGTGAACTACTAAAATATGAAAAGCTGCCCCATTTTGCCTCAACAGCATCAATATCAGAAAGAAACTAATGCAGAGACGCAAGGCCCTCGAGTGAATGAGCGGGACACTACTATTTGACCAAATATCCGAAGTCAGCCATTGCGCCCCCCATTTTGGGTGCTATTTTTGTTCCACTGCTCTAGCACTTGATGGAGAGCTTGAGAATTTGCATATTAAGGGAACAAGCTGCGTTACTTTATGGAACAGCGTGCAACCACGCTGCTTCCCCAGCAATGAGTAACAGAAATTCAAATTCTGAGGCTGTTAGCGGTGACTGCGGAAAAATACTCTACCAAAGCTCCTCCTACGCCATAGAATGGTCTAGAATGCGAAGCTGATCCTTTGTCGCTAAATTTCAAAAGTTGAGTTGCAAAGATAAACTTTTGAAATTAGCTGTTCGTCGTTTCCACATAGTCGTCAATTCTCTAGCCGTCGTCCCGCTTATTTGTGATTCAAAGTGACTTGCACAAAAACTTTTTTTTGCTATGAAGTTCCTTGTCGTATCTCTTCTTGTGTGGGCAACTGTGCTGGGCCACATTCTCTACTGCGCGGTCGCGGAGACGGACGAGTGCCGACACTGGGGAAAATTTCACGCACCACCACCAGCGAGTCGTGATTAATAGCGCAATTGTCCGCACAAGAACCTATCTGTCATCAGAGACTCTGGCAGGAGATCTAACCAGAACCCCATCTGATCTCCGTAGAGCGATGAAGTGGGCTGGCTACCAGCTATTCTCCATCCTATTCTGGGGAATCCTTGCCCTGAAACTGACAATATTCTTTTCAGTAACCCTTCTCTGAAGACTTTGTTCTGCCGATCTTTAAACTTTCTGGTGCTGTTTCGGTTTTCTGTCTCATGTCCTCATCAGGCCACTGCCCCTCTATGCTGCTGCATGATTGATCTGCGGCGCTCACCAAGAACTGTGAAGCTTTGGGAAACCACATTTTCAGAAAAAACTAGTCATTTCTTTTTCAGCAAGACAGTGTTGGGCTTGCGCTGAGTCCATGGGCTGCGGCTGACTTATGAACGGAGGTCACCTGCACTAATTCAAGATGTTTACTGAAGTAGCCCAGCCGGACGAGTATCAGGCGATAGACTTTACCGTATACAAAAGCGCTAAGGTGATGAGCCCCCCTGATATGCCAGACTACATGCTGGATTACACGATCACCAAAGCGTGAGCTTTCATTTTGCAGCACACAATGCACTCTGGGCTGGACACAGGAGCGCGCTTCGCAGCTAGTTCACAAATCTTCGGCATGCCCGCCTTTTGTACTAAGCTTCAGTTGAGGCATTGGAAGGGCAAGGTCCACTGCCCTGCCACGGCTGCAAACCCAGATTTCCTCCCTCTGCGTGTTCCACAGGAAGGAACTCCTACAGGGCGACAACGACTTCAACGCTCACGAAATAGCGGTAGCACTAAAAAGAGACTTGGACAAGAAATGGCAGCCCTGCTGGTATGCAGTGTAGCACCCCTACCACCTCCCTCAATAACCCACGACTCACCCAAAGCCAACTGCAATGGCTATGTTCACTACTCTCCACTGTTCCTTGTCGCTTTTCACATAGCACACCCTTCATACGCCGCTTCTGCTACCAGCATGCTGAGGAGCCCTTGCCAGCAACCCGTGAGGGCCCTGTTAGCTTCTTCAGGCACGTGACAGTAGGAAAGAATTTTGCAAGCTACGTCGTGCACCAGAAACGGAGATTCGTGTATTTTACTATTGGAAAATTCTCATTCCTTGTTTACAAAGCACAATAAGCAGCTGGAAGACCCCCATAACGAGGGATCCCCTTTCGTAAGCTTGTGCAGTCATCTAACGTAATCTTCAGCCACTGCACACCGACTAGCAAAGCTGTGGAGACCCGCGGGGCTCTCGTTGCTCCCAACTACTGGGTATTTGATGGTCCCAGCTTGGCCTTCTACTGGTTCACCTATCCGTACTGAAACCCAACCCCGCTCGTAAAGAGGAAGCGTACGACATTACTTTCACTCATCAGTTGAACAAGGTGACGCCACCAGTCTACCTAGGCAGTGAATAACCAAGAAAAATGCAATTAGACACGCCTAGTTGGTTCCGCAACTCATTGCGTAGGGCTTTCGAACAGGCACAGCTTCAGAGGAAAAGGCTTTAGGCGGTTTTTGGGAATTCAATAATCTGTTTCTCGGAACCTTACAGCCGTATTGGGCTCAAGCAAAAGGCTGTGCATCAAGATACACGCGGTCTTCTTGCACTGTTCAGCTGCAGAAGCAACTTTTTATTGGGATCAGTCGAAAGCAGGCAGGTTTGTGAAAACTGCCGGAGACCCTGAAGGATCGAAGGAATGGGTGCGACGCGACGTATCGCGTCCGTGGCCAAGATCAAATCTCTTGCTCTAAAAGCAACTGTGTTGCCTTGACATAATCACCCTCTGCCTGCTGCAATGCGGCCTCCACCTCAGCAGCGGGAATAAGCAGCAAATCCCTCAGCTTCCGAACCGATGCAGCGCAGACAGTGTATTTGTGAGCTGCTGCTACTGTCCCTGTCTCTCCATGTTCAAGGGACGTCATTAGTGCTGCTTGCCTCTGAGAAAACGCGCTAAACAGCAAGCAGACGAAGATGTGCATCTTTATAGGTAGTCATATCATCGCCCTACTCCTTGAAGTGGCGGTGGTATGTAGCTAATCATATCACCGCCCTACTCCTTGAAATGGCGGTGACGTGCACATGAATAATTCGCACGAATTGCCCCCTTTTGGATGTATAATGTTCAATCTGCTAAGTTTCAAGTTCTTATCAATAGGTACCCCAAGCAGAGGCGATGAGTGAGATACCTCTGTGTGCTTAGTATCAGTGGCTTCCGCACCTCCAGCTACGAGAATAGCTGCACTGCTTCTTAGGTTGTGTTACGTTGGACCCCCTCACCTTTTCGTCCATTTCAGTATCAGAGGCATCCTGCTGATCCAAAGACGCCAGTTCCTTCTGCTGCTCCTGCTGGAGCCGATCACCGGGCACCTCTGCCGCCTCTGAGGGCCGGGGCTCTCCTCTCTCGTCCTGGTGAGGTACCATTTTTTGAAGCGAGGCTGCTGAATTATAACCAGTAAATTATGTAGGAAAAATAGCCGAAATTGCCCTGGTTCGGCTCAAGGCAATGCAAGTTAAGTCTTTCCACCTCCAAATGGATGACACCTGGGCTGCCAGGGAACCCACAAGCACGGGCCTAAAAGCGCGAATACAGGTAGAAAATGCGGGGAACTACATGTGAAACTGACAATGGGGTGCGTAAGCAAGATGCCCTCAGAGCAGTAGATAATGACGAAGCGGGTCCTTTCATCCAGCGAGCGTGAACAGGACCAAACACTCCAAGCAGCAGTGACCTCCTACATCATACGGGGAGAAATTTGGTGCAAATGCTCGAAATGCGTTTTTTACTTAGTAATGGCCAGTAAAGAAGAACATGGACCACGAAAAAGCATGCCAGAAGCGGAGAGGGGTAACGTGTCAACGGACAAGAAGCGGGCTCACGTTGTGTGTGTACGTCGGCCACTATTAAGGGAGAAAATTCACATACGGCAAAAAATGACCCCACGAACGAGGAAGGCGACAAGGTTGCATGCATGCGCGTAAGGATGGCAACGCCGGGCCCCATATTTCCTTCTGCAGGAGTGAATTCAGTCCGTCCTCAACAGGCCTGCATTGAGGCTTGTAACACACTGTGCTAGTTGCTTATTGGCCTTACAAATCAAATTTTTTGCCGTGCACCACATATAAATTTAATGGACATCAAAACCCTGTGGGGGGTAGGGAATTTCCGTTGGTTTACGCTCAGAGAGCCGTGCCCGAAGAAACTATTGCAGGTGCTGTTAATGGCATAATATAGTTGTGACACCAGCATAGCGTGCTCTGAAACGGCATAGTATGTTCGCCCTGATTCAGGATATAAGCGTTTGGGGTCTCTGCTGGCCAGACCCAGACATGGGAGCCCTCGGGTCACGTGAGATTGCCTCTAGGGTTAGATACGTTCGTGGCGTGGCTTGTATTTTGGCTAGCAGCACAGTTACCTGATAAGTGCACTGTGACAGTGTGTAGGTGCGTGAATAGAGTAGCCTTTAATTTTCTTTTCAAGGGGTTAGTTCCGAGATGACCACACAGTAGAAGGGGTATGGGGAGGGTACGAAACAGTGCACCATTGAAAAACCAACCCAAACATGCATTTTTCGGACGCCAGTATTGACAAGGCATATTGACCAGGCAACGCCTGGTCAATATGCCTTGTCAAAGAAGAAAATACTGGGCAGACTATTGCAGGGTGCGGGATGCTGAAGGAGAACTCCTGAGGCAGAAGTCTCTACCGCGTTCACCACCGGCCTGTGCGTAGATACAATCGCATAAAATGCTTGTTTTCAGCACAACACGTATCTTCAGATCTTTGAAGGAGCGAATGGGGCTGGTATTGGCGCCTGTGTCCCCACACAGCCAACTGAAGGCTGCGACCCCTTTGCTGTGGATGTCAACCTTGCAAAAAGTACTTTCTAGTATGCATTATGGGAGTTAAGTGAGCTGAAATGACTTTGGAGTGTGTGACAGCTCCGCCTCGAACCTCCCTGCGGAGCCGGCGGCGCGGGTTAGAAAACGTATCCTTTGTCTGTACAGGTAAGGCTCTTCTGGCTTATACTGTGCATGAAAAGTGCTCATAAGTGCTGCGCAGAAAGATTCACACGCTCCAGGAGAAGTGCCCACCACATACTTGCAGCGACGCAGGGTCTGGGTACTGTCTTGCAAGAGCTTGACGAACGCGGGCGTGGGCGGCCTATTTATCTTGCCGTTCATGTTTTTCCTCCTCATAAGCAAAGTAAATGCAAGGAAAAATGTGGAATTTCGGTAGCACTTTGAGCTTCGGACGTGCTTTGGTCGTACATGTTCATAATGTAGGATCAAAGACTGGTAAATGTTTAGCCGGTACTACTGTTGGTGACGAAGTGCGAGTCGTGAGGGAAGTATGCAGCAATTTAAGACACGCAGAAAACATTATGACAGAACTACGTGGGAGGCAACTCCAAGATGTGGATAGCGTCGCTGATGCGTTCTGTTCCTGAACCAAAAGCACAATAGAGTTTTAAGACAAGCATGAATGCTTGCTGAAGTCAGATTTGTCCTCTCTTGCGTCCTTGGTTTGCCGTCGTGTGTAGTACAAGTATGTGCTTTGCTGCCGCCATATAGAAAACAAGATGTGATTCACCGCTCGATCACAGAAGTGCAGAGACATCCAGATTATGGGAAGTGTAAGTGAACAAAAAATGCCAAAAATGTCAACTCCGCTCGCAGTAAATAGTCTCGTGCCGTGTTCTGTGCTAGTTCGAGAATAGAGAGTAGGCAATCTTATTCTTTGTTCTCCTACTAGATGTGAGTGTGGTACGTATACTCCAGAATACAGCCAGTAGGTCCAGTTTGCATGTCTGCTGTGAGCCGGTAGGCAGACAGTATGACAGAATCACTGCAGAGGCGGGCCCACGGGTGCCGCTGTAATTCTAGTTGAGAGCAAGACTCATCTCCGTCAGAGGTTATTATTTCAAGGAGACCGTGGTGGCGGATAAGTGGGCCAGCAAGAAGTTCGAAAGCGTCTGCTGCTGTAGCTTTTCTCTTGGTAAGGATGAAAATGTGCCATCTTTTTGAGAATATCAATGGCCGCTGGGATAGAATCATGGCCAGTAGCGGTAGGAGGAAGCTCCATTGTGAAGCAAAGGTATAGAAGACTCCAGAGTCTTGAGGAAATAAGAAGCGGCCGACGCGGGGTCGCATAATTCAGAATTAGGTATCCGGCATTGTACCAAGTGTACAGCATGCCCCGTTGTAGAGTTACGCAAATCTCGCCAGTAGCAATGCGTAACCAAGCAAGGAGAATTTTCCTTTGCTCCCGGTGGCCTGCAGTCACCTAATCGTGATGGGTGTAAACTATACCATTGATGAGGTCAGGAAACAAAAATATCCCGTAAGCCTTTTATACAAGCACTAAGTAAAGGGCGTTTGAAGCGGATGCAAAGAAGAAGGGCAGAAGACTCAAGTTAAGAGATGTCGCCGTTCCTCCCGGCCCTGTCGGGTCGCGGAGAACAGGAGATTTTAGATGGGCTGCAGCCAGAACTAGTAGAAGAGATGCAGGGTGTTCCTTCTTTGAGATGGGTCTTGGTGGAAAATCTCTAGGGCCTGGATGGATGGCAAAAGGGCCGAACAGGAAATAGCGTCGAATCCAGGAAGCGTCGCATGTGATGTTCAATGAAGAATGTTCTTGGCCACTCGAATATTGGACAGTGCTGGCTGTGTACCTTGACGCAGTTAGGGCGAAGTCTTCGGGTGTTGTGGTGCTGCTGACACTCTACAGCAGCCGATAATGGGGAAATTTGTAATCCGTAGATAGTGCGTGAGACACGAGGGAGAGCTCATTACCCCGATGTGAAGGCGCGCTAACCGTGTCGTGGCAGCACATTAGCATCCTCATTTTGTGCACCTTGTCATAACGTAATCCTGAGGTATCGGAACACTGCCACGATGTGAAGAGGAAATTAAACAGTCGAACTGTGGGCCCTGGATGGGTTTGGCCGCAGTCACCCGCTGTCGGTGCGCCAGAGCGTCAAGTTATACGTGCATATGGTGCTTGAGGCAGATGCAGTATGCGTATTACACGGGTTCTGCATGGGTTGCTGAGTCAGCTCTCTATAGAAACGTCAAGATTTGCAATTATTCCAGGACGTAGGAACAGTTGAAAGCTCGTGTTTGTGCGGCCACGAAGCACCTGGGACACCCTTGAGGCTAAAGCCCACGACTTATGAAGAGCCAACTTCCACCGGTACTGTTTAGCCGTTAGTAGTAGTTGTCCAGTAGATGCCAGCTTGTAGTTCCGGCATGGACAAATATTTAGGTGCCTCCTACCCCTCTACTGATTGAAAAGCGGCGCAAAGAAACCAGGCACAGCGACAAGAAAGTCCAACGCTTGATAATAAATCAACCGCAGATTCAACTCGCTAAATGGTGAACATGACTGGCAAACATGGCTGTTGGAGGAGATATTGGGGAGTCAGCAGGGTCTCTCCACCCATATATCATGCTCGTGGAGACTGAGATGACTGTGATCATACGCTAAATAAGAGAATTAACGTGGAGACCACCAAGCAGCGGTAGAATTTGGTGATCGTCAGGGCCCTTCAGCAAGAATCCGGCTGGTGCTGCACCGGCAAAAACAGTTTGGTGTCCGCTTCATACGGTGACTGCCTCTGTAGGTGTCTTATGCACTTCTGTTGGGTGCAATCATTTACCAAATAGTTTATGACAAAGCACAACGTAGTTGACGCCTTGGAGGCCTACTGAGTACCTTTGTTCTAGAGAAGCGTCGTTCTGCACCGTGACTGTGCATAGTACAGCTCTCTGCCGCCCTTTACATGGCAACACATGGTGCGCTCTACAAAGGGAGCACCATGTGTTCATTCCGGCACCTGTATTTTAAATCCTTTCAGCTCACCAAAGAGATGGTCTGAGCTCACGCGTGCCTGCTCTGCGAGTCCCACAACCTGCGCTCACCCCTTCGCCCTCACATGCGACTTGTATTATTCAGAAGGTGAGCACAAGAGTGTAGTCACCTATTCCAAAGTCGTGTGCGGCACGTGCCGCACCAGAGTCTGTTATGCACGATATAAATATCAAAGGGTCTTTTGATCGTGCCACGTCCGGCCCGCCGTCTTCTGTTTAGCTAGTGCGAGCAGATGGCTCGCACTATGTATCGTCTAAGCATCAACACAGCATAGCATCTAAAGATAACCCGATTACCTTCTGTCATGTGAACTGATTGCCAACGACGTGTCATAGATGATACTTGCCACTAAGAAGTCGTCCGAGAATGATTCTTACGCACTACATCTCTAGTCCTGTGACTGAACGATCGCTACGCATTCGTTCGCCATCGGTCACTGGAGGCATTCTCCAGGAAGCCACCTAGGTCTGAGGTGCAGCCACTTTGCAGACGCCTGTCTTGAACTACGCTATACAAAACAACAGTTCCCCACAGCTTTTCAAACGCGCTGGAAATGACTTCCGCTAGGACGACTGCAGTAAGGCCCATATTCCATAGCACACCTTGGCCTTTACCAGTCTGCTGATTTGATACTAGCGCGGCACTGCTGCTGGGGTTGGGAGCCTCAGGGGTAGCCACATCTTGCTTCTGTCCGAATGTTTTGTTGCTTCCATTTGTTGTGCGTTTTGCACTTGAGAGCACCTTTTCACACCTTTTGTTCGTCACTGTCTTTCATTCACATGTAACGGGACCGCATTGGACCCTGCTGCAGCTGCACATATAGGGTCCTTTCCATGCTTTTGTTGTCTAGCAAGCTTGCCTAGCGCAACTCTTGTTTCTGTAGGTACAAACTCTGTATTTTTCCTTTCTTGATTGGCTTGCCGGTGTCGCTTCTGGACTCACTATGTCGGGTGCTGGTGGCAGTAACGGGTGCTGGTGGCAGTAACACATCACGGACCTACATGGTATCAGTGTAGCCAGTAACAACCTCTTCAGCAGACGTCCTCAGGGTCTGTTAACCAAAGTTAATGCAGCTCGAACACTACATCTGATAACCCAGCAAGCCCTGGCAAAACAGCTCGATTCCATTAACGCGTAGCTACTCAAACGTACACTCCAGGCATCACTGCAACTCCAAAGCAATTAGGACGGCTTAAAAAAATCAACAATCAAAATTTCAGGGTGAGATGCTGCGAGTAAGCCACTAGAGCTCACGACAAAAAGAACGAAACGCTGACTACACGAGCTAAGGAATTCTGGTATTCTTGCCAAGAAGAACATGCTCCCATTGTAGCGACACGTCTTAGTATCCACGACGTACCTACCAGCGCATAAAGCCTAGCCGTGGCATAGCCACGAGGGGACTGTTGCCACTGCAAGTAGTGGGCAGCTGCTGAAAATGCCTAGGACGCGGCAACACGCAAAACGCTTCGTTTCTCCTATCCCAGCGTACTCCTTATGAAGCCCCAACCTCCTTCAGAAACTCGTCAAATGCCTGAAAAAAACACCAGATGAATCTAGCTGATAACAACCTCTCAAGGCTGCACAGCTGCTACGAGGTGAAATGGACGTACTGCACATCACCAGAAGCAGCATCGTAACATTTTCTACCTAGGACAGCAACAGCCACTAAGGCTAACCATCCGCAGTGAGTCTCCTACCCTATCGAGATCCGCAGGTGCTGGTGCTTTGGGTGGACCCTTAAGACAGCTTCCTTCTTGCTGCACTTTGCTTTCTCCTAAGAACCTTGCCAAGCCAGACACTGGCTTGTCAGATGATGCGCCGGTGCCGCATACTTGACGCCCAAGAGCTGCAGCCCCCATGGAGTACGCAGACACTTGAGATATCGAAGGCCCTTCACGTGTTTTCGCCGTGGCCGGCAGCTTCTTGGTCCTACACGCAAAGCACCGACGCAAAAGTAATGTTACGCACAACTGCTGCAGTTCGGCACAACTCTACGGCTCACAATGACCACACCGGACATACTCAGTAAGCATTTCCTCCATGTTTTCTTACCTCAGATGAGTTGGAACGAAGGCCATTGCTGCCTTCAAGTCGGCTGCCTCTGCTGACCTACTGCCGGTCAGTTGCTTTTTCGGTGGGACAGGCGGCGTCCGCTGGACAGGTGGTCTCTTGTGCACGTTAGGCGGTCCCGCCGTAGCAGGGTACTGTGGCTCGAGCGGATCCTGCTGCGGTATGCGCTGCTGCGGCTGCTGCACCTTATGCGGCTGCTGCTGCCCGGGCTGCTGCTGCCCGGGCTGCTGCTGCCCGGACAGCTGCTGCATCTGCTGCATGTGGGCAAGCAGTTGCGATGGAGGAGCGGGGATGGCAACGAAAGGGGGCTGAAAAGTCAGGCACGAAAGAAAGAAAAATATAGCAGCATTCACTCAGGAAAACTTTAACAGCAGCACTACCCGCAGCATCCGCAATGGCGTCAACTAAAACAACGGACAAAAGCCACTGCCGAATCAACAGAAGCCGACTGTTTTGATATTCAGTGCCATAAAGCCGTCTAAAGCTGTTGCGTGTCAGTGGGTCTGCTGACAAAATATGTACTACTCGTGAATTCCTGAGCCGGCTCACCACAAACCCACGTGAGAAGAACCCTGGCGGCCCCTGCACGTCGTTAAACAACATAATAAAAAAAAACGATGCAACAAAGACTGTCTCGAGCATCTTGTGGACAACAGGCAAACCTGCTTTCCGACAGCTCAGGTAAAAGCACAAAACTCACTCCTTGAGGTGCGCCTGTAGAAGACGGCTGAGAACCTGCACCATAAGCGCCAACTGGAGGAGGCACAGGGAAAGGGAATGGCAAAAAGGGCATCGCCACTGGGGCAGAAGCCGTCTGTTGCCGCTCCGCAGTTCTATCCAAACAACACAAGCAGCAACAGAGTACGCTAGGCTCGAGATTTAGAATTGCAGCAGTGGCGACACCTGAGCGAGTAAAAGCACCTTCAAAGGAAGAAACGTGAGGCATTGTATTCACTGTATCGAACCCATTAGGATGCCACAGAGTCGCAACAGACCGCTAAAGAAACACAATGGCAGGAACAGAAGCGACGCTCACGTTGGGGCCTGAGGCGAAAGTGCCGCTGGTGGAGGCGGCTCGTCTGGAAGCGGAATAGAAGCCAGGAAATCTTCCACTGCCTCTTTAGTTGCAGCTGCTTCTGTGGCCAGTGTTCTTTTGCTGCTGCAACCGCTGCTGCTAGGTGCTGCAGCACTGGTAGAGTTCTCCTCTTCACTTTCCGAATCACTGCTCATGTCAGAGTTTCTCGACAGATCGCGTCTTTCCCGCATTCGTCTTTGCTGACTCTCCACGACTGAAAGCCAAGAAAATGGGGAACAGGTTGATATAACAAATCAGGACCTTGCGGCAGTCCCATCAAATGCCTCCGCCACACACGCTGAGATGTTCCACAGAAGGTGGAAAGCAGCTAAATGCCGCATCTGTTGAATAGTTAAGAATCCCAAAGATACAACTAAACCCTCTCTACACACTAGGTCTCAACCCAGCTAAGCCTTACAGCGTCTTCTCTGCTCAGACTTGTCATTTGCCACAGGAGGCGGATAAGGCCGTATGGAGCCATCAGGATCTGCAAGGCAGCAACGAAACTAACGGGAAAAAAATGTTGCAGAATGCACTAGAAGAGAGCAGCCGTGGGCGGAATCCAAGAACAAGGCGGCATGTAAGAGAACCTACGGCGGAATATGCCCGTGTTGCAGAGCTCAGGGCAGTAATAACGTCTTTCCTCCTCATCTGGAATACGTTCACCATGTGAAAGCCGCTGCTGTAGACATCTGGCGTTCGGGCCACTGCTGCTGCTACTGCTCCTGGGGTCTACTGATGCAACAGAGGACACATCTGCAGTTCTCACGCGACGTTCCGCCTCCACTTGGCTCACGACTTGGGCCCACAGCTGCTGCAGCTTCTGTAAACGACGCGTGCGCCCTTCCGTCATAGGTTGGCCAGATTTGGCTGCAAAGCAAAAACAGCAGTAGCAACCATAGCAGCGTTACACTCAATCGCCGAAGGAGCAGAAGGATAACAGCAATCGGAACACCACAGATTCAGCAGCAGCGCAATTCTCCTTGCCCAAAGCTTCCAGTTTATCGAGCTCCTCCTTAATAGCTACGGGGTTTTTCTTGAGGAGCGCCTGTTCCCTAGTGACCTTTCTCTCCGCTTTGTTCTGTTCACACACCAAGGTCCGACGCCAATGCCTTTAAGCTAAACTGGCCTCAGGCATTGAAAAATTCCATAATATTTAAGACAGGATGAGATGTTGGTTGTCCTTACTTTTTTCTTCTCCGCGTCCCTCTCCTTGCGCCTGTGTTCTGTTGACGGGTTATACGACTTCAGGGTTTCCGCCCCTATGAATTTCTTGCTTGGATTGACCATTTTCTTAACGTAACGCAACACTACCGCTTTAGCGCCTTCTCACGCTCCTGTTGTTGCCGAAGCCGCCGGTGCGCCTTTCCGCTCTTCTCTCTTGTTCAGGCAGCTGCTCCTCCTGTTGTCGCCTCCAGAGCTACAAACTTGTTACCTAGCCTTTTGGGGCCCTACACCGTAGCCCCACGATTGCAAGCGGTTAATTAGTGCCGCTGCTACGTGGAAAGTCCCGCCGGATGGGGCTGTGGCGACGTGGAAACCCATGTGCTGCGTCGGAAGCGCCGCTACCTCCTTCAATGCTGTATCTACGTTCGTCGTTTCTTATCGCTAGTTCCAGCTGCGACTGTTGCCGTTGCTCCCACGGAAAAGGCAAGCCGCTGAGCTGTGCGCCAACAGGGTTGGTGGTAGGGTGCCGCTAATGCAAACCATGGATACTGGAGAATCTCTCTTGGAGCGAACTGCAATACTTCCCGACCCTCAACACCCAAGAAATATTCAAAAAAGGCGAATCCGCCTCAGCCAAGTGCAGCCGCTGCCTCTGCTTGGGGCTGCGGCTGATGTGCCGTAGCAGCCATCCAACATGCCCCCTACGCTTACTGCCGACTCCTTGCGGGAAGTTCTTAATAATTCCCATACTGCAGCAACGTCCGTCTGAGACGACCTTTGCACAAGGATATCCTGTTTCAAATAACAACAGTTAGCAAGCTTTGTGATTGCTAGAGGCAAACAGGCCTATCGCCGTCTCTACAGTGTCCGAGTGTGTCTTGAGGACACTGGCTTTCTGTGCAACGGGGCGTAAATGGGTTGGACAGACTTGAGGAAAAATCACGTCGGTTTATCCAACTGGCCATAAGCGCAGGCAGTCCTTTTGTCTCTTTGTGTTGTGACCTTGCAAGTCCACATCAAGACAGTAGTGCCTCCAGTGGCTGTCGTCAGCCTCCCATTTCCTTGCCTTTGGAGCCACTGCAGATAAGGTGTTTCTTTCTATGCTACTTAAACCGCGTATACAACCTCTTGTTGCTTTTGTGCTGAACTACTAAAGTAACCGGACGATGTCCCTGCCTCGGGTCTTGTTGGTTGCCTCCACTGCTGCATTTGCCTCGGTGGGGCCTAAGGCGTCTGTTGAAGCCTTTCACCTGCAGCCGGCGCTCACCAAGGGTGGTATTGAAGCGTCGCGTATCACTACTCATGTGGAGCTGTTTAAGGGGCCCTCCTCAGCCCCAACCGCGCCGATGGCGGCAGCTGGGCCCCCTTGGCAGCCCCCTGCATCTCAGCTCAGTCTCAGTGCAGTTTCAAATAGTCTTGATGGAGTGGACAGCTCACCTGGGGCCGACAACAGCGTTTTAGCGATGGCGTCTTTCTTGCGCTGCCACAAGCCACTCCTTAATGATCGGGGCCCCGAAATACCCGACGGGAATCTCTGCATGCTACTGCGGGGTTGCGACGCGCATCAGCGGATGATATCCCCCTTGGAGCTCAAGACCAATGCGGAGGCCCTTCCGGGTGCAGCTGCTGCTGGGGTGATGGCTTCCAAGGGGACCGCAGCGGCCGAGGCTATATGCAAACAGCTGGCGGAGGACCTAAAGCTCAGCAAGACTCCTCATGGGCTCTGTCCCGTCGAGCTACTCAAGCTCGAGGTGGGGAAAGTACACCGTTTGCTGCAGTTCGCAACAGCCGCCGGCCTGAAGAAGAACTTCCTCAGCAAGGATGCTCTTCTCGTTATGCTAGAGCTCTACGAGGTACGCCCAGTAAACATGTACGCATTTATTTTGCTGCAAGCGGGGTGCTTGGTGCTTTTCTTTATGACGCATTTCTATTTGTGAAGACTTGTTGCGCTATAGGAAGTGGGAATCGATAGCAGCCATATTGTACAGGTTGTTAGGGGCCTCAAAGATTTTTATCAGGCAAGGCTACTGCTACCACAACTGTCGGCATTGCTTCTGTAACTGTGCATGCACCTCGTCCGGCCCTCCTGGCATTCGCTTGTTTTGCATTGTTGTTGCATCACTTGCCACTGCAATTCTGCGTACTCAGAAAGAGATGGACGAGAAGAGCTTCAAGGAGTTCTTCCTACCGGCCTACGAAGAAGTACTTGCAAATTTTGAAGAAACAAAGAAGGTAAGTGGTGGATTGGCACGATGCTGCACTGAGAGCATACAACGAAGAACCTATGAACTGCGTAGAAGCGGGGGACGCAGCAACAGCAGCAGCAACAACACTTGATAAGCACATATTCTAGGCACCCTTTTATGTGTGCATCGTTGGTGAAGTTTACCTGCCTCGAGGAAGAAGCCGCTGGCAGTGAACGAATCTATCGGTGTTGCCTTCATGGTTATTTTGGATTTGCACTGCCTTGTTTTCATCGCTGCAGCTAGTCAGGCATGCAGAGAAAGTGCCTTTCTCGTCTCTACCGTTCGAACCTACCCCAGATCCTAGGACAATGACGCCTCTTGTTGTGGACATAATGCAGTTTAAAGACAAACTACGTAGGCCGACTTTCACAGGCACTGTGGAAGTTGTCAGCATCCTGGGGCTCAGCTGAATTACTCTCAAGTCACGAACTATTTTGGTGAAAGAAACATATAGCTTCAATGCGAAGTACCACGCAAACTATAACTGCGTGCGTCTTCACGTGAGCCTCTCCTTCCGACGCACCCACCTCTCCTTCCTACCTGCCGGTCTCTGTATCTCTGCGCTCAGCCAATCTCAGGAATTGGGAAGATAAGCAGTAGAGCAGCAGTGCTGCGCGAATCAGGCTCACAGGCCACCAAGTTCCCAACTCATCTTACCAGGCAACTATGGAGGTCGTGTCCCAACAAGGCTCTCACCAACAGGCCCTGTTCATTGAGCAACGGATAGCTTGCCATGGCGTCCCGGGGTTGACTTCGGCCAGCAACAATTCACTGCGAGTATTCAGCGCTCACTTGGTCGCGTCTTCTACCCTGCACAGTATCTATTGTTTGGGTAGGTAACCTGTAAACACATTGGACACTAAGCCGTAGTTCGCATCGAAAGTAATTCCGCGCCATTTACAATTCGTTTGTCTGGCTGGCCACTTTCGCTGTTGATGCTGCTCAGTAGAATTTGTTCAACGTACGGTGCACTGGGGAACCAACGCATTGGGCGGTTACGCGACCTGCCACGCAGGTCGAATTGCTTTATTTGCTAGGTTCATATGATTGGTCGCAATTGACTTTATTTGATCGTACCAGAGAGCAGCAGATTGAATTGTTGCCAATTAGGTAAAGCTGGCTTGCGGATGCATGCCCTTAAGTCCAGCACGCGCTTTGAGGAACTCCCTGAGACGGTGGAGCACCGAAGAGTAGTGGAAGTGTCATGATTGCCTGTCGGTGGCTTGGGGCCACAGGGCAAATGCGGGCTGAAAACAGCCTTCAATGTTAAACGGGGACAGCGGATAGGGGCAAGCGAGGCTGTGAGGCTGTTGAGCTGCAGGAGAGCACGTGCCCTCAAGATACAAAGGTAGTTGGTGGAGTTTGCAAAGCATGTATTATCAGAATATGGAGGTTAGCAACGTATTGCAGTGGAGAAGGAGGAAACTAGTGAGGAGCCGAAGAGTTTGTTGTCTCTCAATTCGTTTGCGGCCCGCTTTTTGCAGAATGGCAAACATTTAGGGAGAGTTTGGCACAAGTAGTTCGTTTTGGTGAGTCCAAATTGGAGTTACGGTGTATTGTAGCTTCAGTCTTTGTATTATCCTGATTGGCACAAGTAGTGCGTTTTGGTGAGTCTAAATTGAAGTTATGGTATATTGTAGCTGTAGTCTTTGTATTATCCTCACCTTCAAGCTGGTTGCGTAGTACGTCGCACTCAAGCAAGCACGCCAGTGGTCATAGGCAGAATACGTGGCTCACCGGGGGCGAATGCCAGTGATTATTTCAAACTTTATAGGCATATGTATAAATATGCATCAGCGTGGGGACAAAGGTGAGCGGAAAACGGCAGTGCATGGATCTTTGCCCCGGCAGCCTCTATATTGCGGCCGGAGCAGCTGATGGCTGCTCGCTTTTGGACTGAAGCAAGATCCCGCACTTTCCCAATTTCAGGCAACAGCCATTTTGACCTTTCACTTTTGTGTTTACGAGCGAGTGTATCCAGAACCAGAAGCCTCCAGATACGGGCGAGTGTGACCGGTGGTCACTCGCAACAGTCCATGCCTGCACGGCACGTCAGCCGTTTCAAAAACCGCCGGAGAAACTAGCATAAGCTAATTCCTCTGCTTCTTGGAGACAAAATATTAATAAAGAACAAACTCCGTAGTTGAAGAGGTGCCTAGCTGGCCCCGCATTTTTCTTTGGAGCTCGCCCTACCAGCTGCTCTTCCTCCAGATCGACACGTTGCTTAGTTACGAATCGGGAGAAAATCAATCTCAAAAGAAAACGCGGGACAGATTTCCAAAGTTCATTGAGTGTGAGCCTCCCAGATTTTGATGTGCTTTTCTGGAGCACGATTTCAGCCGGTTGAGCGGCTATCATGCCCGAGGTCACTTGAGATGGCTTCCATGTAACTCCAAACTTCTCTCGCGGCACACGCAGAACTTGGAGGCCTCTAGCTGGTACTTTTCGAGTCATCAAGGAGGAGCTTCTGCAAGGTTTATGGTCGGGTGCGCTTGGTTTTCACTGCCTGGTCTTGATGAGGCAACACGTGTCAGCTAGGGAAAGGGCGGAAATTTCTAACTCTCCAGAAGAGTCACACGTGGAGAAGCCAAACAGCAAATGCATGCATATCACCAGCACAAGCACGGATGATACTCACACTGCAGTCTTCCACAGCAGCGAGGCTGAAAATGGGTCCAGCGAAGCTAGTCCTGCGTGCCTCTTGCAACATAGCGGACCAACTACCGGAGTAACCAAGTCAGCATTTGGCTTCACTCAAGATGTAGGCAATGCAATCCGGGAAAGTGTTGAATCCATGGGCGGATCAGTAAGTACCGATGTGACTCGTTCCGGTACTTCCCCCCCTCCGAAGAGGAAGCGCCTGTCACAGGTGGCCCTTTTGCATGGCCGCAGGAGCACTGCCCCCGCAACTTATGTTCAAGTTGCAGCCGGTCAAATATATTCAGATCTAGACCTGTGTCAGCAGGCAGAGGAGAACAGTACGGTGGTGGGTTAAGTTTCCTTGAAGAGCCAGGAGCCACTACTGGTGCAGTGCAGGACAGAATTTAAGAAGCCGGCAATTTAGCTGTAGGCCTCTTCTTCAGCAAGAAAGATAATTGAAATCCTTTAATCCTTGCCGGTGTCGTTTTTCTTTCTGGTTCTTTGACAAACAGGTGGTGGCGGTGAATAACACGGCGTCAAAGGCAAGGCAAGTCGCGGCACCTTCAGCTTTACCCTTGCGGAATACACCTCAGCCAAAGTACAAGTTATTACACAACGTTGGTGAGCACAACACACAAGTATGAAGTGTGGCTGTGGCCGCTTCGTTTGTTGCTTTTGCCACGCTGGCAGATGATGATGACAAAGCACAAGCAGTGAAGAAGAGAGAGCTGCCAGTTCGCCAGTCCTGCTGGCGGGAGGCATGCACAGAAAACAATTGGCTTGCAGAATGAAGGAGTGGTGTGTTTTTGCTGCAGCAATGGTGTTAACATTTGTAGCAATTGTCTCGTTATGGGGCGTGGTGGTACGGCTCACACTATGAGAGCGCTTTACTTTTCTCTTTCTTTTTACGTCAGCAAGAGGGTCTGTTTCTGGTTGGACACTACCATTTGCCCTCTTCTAAATCTTTTATCGCACTGCCTTTAGCTTGGAAATCGTCGGAATACAACAGACCTTCTTGCTGCTTATGAAGCAACCTGTGGCCTTTTCTGTTTCTATTTGTGATTGTTCTGAAGGATGTAGCGGTGGAGGTTGCCTCCGGAATCAGCAGTGGGCATCAATTTCAGTTGTACGCGATGCTCCTATTGGTTGGCGCGATGGCGGCTATGGCCCTCCGGAGGTTGAAGGCACTGTCTTACAGATGGACATCTTATCCCGGTAAAAAAGCACCTCTGTTTCTTCTCCAACACATTAGCTTGCCTTTTATCAGCCATTTTCCCCCATGCCAAGGGTCACTCCAAGAGCCGAAATAGAGATGACCCAGGACACATTTCCCACTGTGTCACAGAGAGTACACAGGCCACATTCATTGCATAATGAATGCATATTTGTATGCTTGTCAGTCCTAAACTGAAATGATGTGAGAGTATTCAAGCAATTGCATAGGTTCAACGGAAATGACGACACTTCGCTGAGAAAAAGCTGCTTTTGGCCTCCATTATGTTGTTTCTCTTTCGTTTGCGTGTCTTTATACCACAGCGCTGTTGGCTTCGTTATTAACTGCTGCTGCCGCTTGGGGCCTCGTTGTGAGTTGACAGCACTAGATGCCTGCCGGCCTTTGAACAAATACTTCCCAATATCTACACTGAAATCCGTGCCTACTCCTCATCCTCGTCAGCTTAGGTCGAGAGCCTTCTTCTGCTAACAACATTGCTGTTTTCAAGTCTCAGTGCCCTGCGCTTCCGTTAGTAAGCGCCTCATATTATCGATCACATGGTATATAACCTTCAGGAAACGCATTAAAAGAGTAAGATTTTACTATAATATGATCTGGGCGTGAGCAGGACGTGGCAATAGAAGCTGCTGCAGGAGGAGACCAGGCACGACGTCTACTGTATTATTTCTTTGGGTTTTTAGTGGCTGGCTTTCTGGTGGCCATGCATGTTTTCCTTGTAGACAGGGGATTCAGTAAGGTCGTTGAGAGCTTCATCTGACTGCACGGCGCCGATGGGTTCTTTTCAGTTGAGCCGGCAGAGTGTACAATCATGTATTTCTCTGAGCTCTCAACAAGCGTAAGCTCCTGCTGCATTGTATGAAGGGCACAATCCCTGTGAGGAGGTGCTGGCGCGCAGCCCGATTTGTGTTCTGTCCAAAGCACAGTAATACCTTGTGAAATACTTCAGTCCATTGACTTCAAGGTCTTCAGCCAATCGTCCCTTGGAGGCTATGGCTGGGCTCCAAGGGACGATTGCCTGAAGACCTTGGGGTTAATGGACCGAAGTATTTCACAAGGTATTAGTGTGCTTTGGACAGAATGCAAATCGGGCTGTGCGCCAGCAGCACCTCACAGGGATTGTGCGCTTCATACAATGCAGCAGGCAAGCCCTTTGCGAGGTGCCTTGCGTACAACACCAAAAACGCTCTCCGCGAGGCGTCTTTTGCTTTGGAAAAAGCAGGTGCTCTTCTAAAATATTTGAAGGAAGACTGTGGAAGCACGTGGCTGAGGACCTCCCCAAGCCCATATATTGAAAATCGTGTCACAACTGTGGACTACAAAGAATTGGAACCACCATAGAACGTAACTCATAAAGCCAACCCCTATATATCTATGCATCTGCAGCTCGCACTGACGACATCTCCACGTGGGAGGCATGGCGAATCAAGTGCTGGCCCAACGCTTACTTTCTTCCGTTGTAACGTGATGAGGTCTCCTGGTTGTGGTTGCTAGTTAGGGAAAACGTACGGTGAAGACGCATCTAGTTAGTTCGATAAGTATCAGAAAATCATAATATGGCATCCACTAGTGAGGAGAGGGTGCTTATAGGCCGAAACTCAAGCAGCAAGACGCTCCTCTCAGCCCTTTTTCTTGAGACATTCATGGTAGCTGGAAGGTCTTAGAGACTTATTCACCTGTCTTTTAGCTTACCTCTTGCCAAGCCTGCCTACCCACAGCCTTTAAACAG